TAAGATGGCACGTATCAAATTCTATATTCATATAATTTGTATAAAAAAAACTAAAAATAAAATAAATTGAGACGTCAAATATAAGATCAAACGGTGAGTGGCTCTCTTAATCAAAATTGGATGGCTGGATAATAGGAGAAGTATAGTCTATGCTGTAGGGGAAGTATAGAAACCTTTCCCCTTTTTTTTTGGGTGAACTTTGATAGGATTTTGTTCGTTTGTTTAACTAGAATTAGCTTTTCCTTTTAAGCCACATAGAGAGAGGGAGACTCATAGGCAACAGCCATGTAGGCAAGAGGATGAGCCTGGGCTGGCCCGAGACCCTAGTAAGGGTAGCAATAGGCCCAGCTTGTGCTAGCACGAGGCCACCTTAGGCTGGCCCAAGACCCTAGTAAGGATGGCAATAGGCCGAGCTTATGCTAGCATGATGCCCCGCCCCGCTCTTGACTAAGCCAAAGGGGCCCTGGCCAAGGGCTTGCTTTTGGGCTATGTGGCCCAGTTTGGCCCTATTAATGGGTTGGGCTAGGCCGAAACTATAAGGAAAATGGGAGGGCAAGGTCATGACCATGGGCCTATGCTCAGCCCAGCCATCGAGCCTAGATTTTAGTCTGGGCTCGGGCTCGGCTCTCTGGCCAACTTTAGTTGCTTAGGCCCAGACTTTTGAAGGTCATGCTGCTCTGCTCATTATGTCACCCTTAGGCCCACGTCGAGCTTTGGGGTTTACCAAGATTTGAGAAATAGAAATTAGGAAGTCTTCCATCAATGCTTAATCGAATTTTTATTGGCAAAATATGCATAAAGACCATTTAGATTTAGTATACGAAAGTTACAATCAGCCTTAACTATTAAATGCGGAATTAGTGCCATGAATATGCCATTACCTGATGAAAATCTTCTTTATCGGTTTTGGAGTGACTTTTACCTATGCTAGTCTCATTTTTTACATTTTATTTCATTCGCTCTATCACATTTATTTCTCACATCATATGTTACTAAAAGACTTAAAAACTATAAATATCAAGTGTTATTTCCTTATGGAGGCGGTTAGCATACGGCCAGGCCAGCACATGTAGAAATGCTGGTTTGGTAATAAATAGATTTTTTAAATATAATTTGACCTTAATATTTAGATAACTTGTTTGGGTGTAAGGTAGGCTCTTTCCTTTTTACTTATTTGGGACTTCCTATTTCTAACTCAAGACTTACTATTGCAGTATGAGATATTATTTTTGAGATGGTCTAAAATAAACTTGCTCTTTGGAAACATAAATATTTATCTTTAGGGGGAAGGGTTACTTTATGGAAAACATGTTTATCTAATCTACCAATCTACCAAATGTCTTTGATCCATATGCCTGCAGCAGTTGCAAAAAGATTAGATAAAATGATGCGTGATTTCCTATAGGGTTCATCTACAGAAAGAAGGAAATTTCATTTACTTAGATGGGATAAATTGTGTTCTCCGAAAAAAGAAGGTGGCTTGGACATTAGGAAGATTACTTTGGTTATTCAAGCATTGATGTGCAACTGGTGGTGGCGCAGCTCCCTTCTTAAAGACCATTTGTGGTATAGAATTTTGGTGTCCAAATATGGGATGGAATGCAACAATATGTAGATTGGAGGTGGGAGAGGTAACAAGCTTGCATATTTAAGGAGAGAAATTTATAATTGTAGACCAATGGTGTCGGGATATTTCAAATGGAGTACTGGTGATGGGAGGAAAGTTTCTAGTGAAAATTTTGAGCTAGGCTCAAATTTAATTGTTTAGAGCCTCGGCTCTATATAAATTATTTCCATATATATACATATATGGATAATCTAAACTTCACATCCCTTCAAATTACAAAGGTTCAAGAAGAGAGAGTTGTCAAATGAAAATTTATTAATTTTGTAGCCTATTTTTGAAAAAATGATACTTTTGTCATCTCCATAAGAGGTAAAGTTTAAATTTTAACTAAAAGACAAGGGCACTTTACAAATACAGTTCCAGCGCACTAACTTTCAAAATGCCATTGTATTTTTGTAAAAATTTAAAATTTGCCCTTGTTTAATGATAAGTTACCTATTTAAATAATTTTTAATAAAAAAGCAATCATTGTTTTAATAAATACACCCATCACAACCACTTCTAACTTGAACCTTTGTATTTTGAGGGGTTGATAACTTTAGACAAACCCATATATATATATATATATATATATATATATATATGGGAAAACGCTAACAATAGCTGGCCAGCTATAATGAATAGTACTATAGGTGGAATGAGAACCGTCAAATCTTCATCATATGGTTCAGAATGCATATCACTATTTTAATTTTAATTATTTTTCTATAAATCGGATCATAATGAAATTCTGGACATATGAACTAAAAAATAGAGCGCACAAATAAAAAAGTATATAAACAATATTTCTCATAATATAAATTGATCGAAATACCCCTGAAAAATGACATAAGTATTTTAGTCATTTTAAATTATTGAAAATACTTTTTTTATATCTTTATATGGTGCACAATAGTATTAGGTATATACACCCAAAATTTCATATTAATCATATTTATATAAAAAGAACTTAAAATTCAAATAGTGATGTGTATTTTGAACTGCATGATAAAGATCTGACGGCTCTCATTCCACCTATATACTATTCATTATAGCTGGCCAACTGTTGTAAAGTTTATCTATATATATATATATAATTTCACAAATGTATTTCCTTCAAGAAACTCTCGTATCTCTTTCATGAATGATCGTTTTAAAACCTCTCACTCCTACGGTTCCCTAAAATCTCTCTCCACAGTCTCATAAAGGTTGACAACAGGTGATTTAGAAAGTGTACATGTCCCTTTTTTTTGCCTCTCTTAAATCTCTCAACCTCTGTCAATTATTAAGTGAGTTTCCCCTATTTCTTAAATCTCTCTGTCAATTATTAAGTGGGTTTCCCGATCAGTACATCTCTCCTAAAATCTTTCTCCCTCTTAACTTTCAAGATTTAAAATCTCTCTACGGTTTCCTGAAATCTCTTTATCTCTACAGTTTGATAAATGTTGCCAGGGGTGGTTTAGAAAGGCACGTGTCCTAAAATCTCTTAACAGTTTTGAAGCCACCCCCACACCAAACTCTTCAAGAAACATGAAAATCCCCCTATCTGCTATGCCTCATTCTCTCACTCTCTGCCTCTCTCTCTCTCTCTCTCTCTCTCCTCACCCTCACTGTCTCTACTTTCGCTTTCTGCATTCTGTCACTCTACTCTCTCTTTTCTCATCTTCTTTTTTCTACTACTTTGTCTCCATCATAAACTCTCTCTA